TGTCATCATCTTTCAAGGTTGCTTTCCCGTTATTAGAGATCTCATCAACTACATCTACCGAGTCACGAAAGAAATCGGTGTTGAACGAGTTCCAGTGCTTCTTGTTCTTCAAATGTTTTGAGTCAAAGTCCTGACTTATAACATGTAAATGTAGTTGTCGCATTGACGGAGCCTGCACAAGAATTGACCTGAAGGTTCAGCACACATGAATATGCTCCACTAACAAAATAGAGTTCCAATGGCCACTGAAAGGTTCAACCACCATGCACATAGAGTCTTGAACAGAGCATTATAACCAAATGCATGAAAGATGCGCTTGTATAAAACAACTTCTCTCCCCTTTTCTTTGCGATAAAAGGAATCACATCTTGTTGGAAAATAAGATACCAGAGACAAATTTGCAAAGAACCAACAATAAATCAAATACACCAATTGAATCCTATGACATATCTAAAGGCATCAACACTAAATTATAATTAACTAAATAATAATAATAATAATAATAATTGCATTTCCTTCTCAACGATAAAATATAATTACTTAGATTGTTTTATAAATTACCATTTTAACAATATGCTAAACCACATCAACCATGTTTTAATTTGAGTCCAGGTAAGAAAGGTACGTGGCTTTGCATAATGCATACCATACACCCACACTTCCATGCTTTGAAAAGATACCACTTTAATCTTAAAACTAAATCTAAATAGGATATTGATGGAGACTGGTGATAGGGGATACCCAAGTCCCAAGCCAAGTAATATGAGATGCTCAATAAGGTATTTAAGTAAGTTGGTTTTCCCACCTCAATGGCTAGCTTTTTGGGGGAGAGCTCCCAATCACACTTGAATACCCATTAGACTTTCATTTTCTTTTCTTTAGAGCAAGGGAAGGCAACAGCTCATAAACAAATGTACTGCTTACCGAGTGATATCCAAGACGAAAAACCAATGAAGCATTCTCTTGTAAGAACTTCTCGGCCCACTTTAAACCCACAGCATGCATCTTCTTTAGTAAGTGAAGGTGATCATTTTGAACATCAGCCAGGCAATCGAGGCCTCTAGTTCGTGCCAACACCAGAACATGCTTCTGTGCCTGCAAAACATAAGGAAATTCTGATTGTTACCATTGCAAAGTCAAGAATGACATGATTTTTTTTTTAGGAGGGATGAGGGATAAGATCAACCTTAGGATACAGATCATTAAGCACAACTACATCTTCAGATATTTCAAGCAATTCGTTCTTATGCTTTTCAGGATTCATAGCTATTAGATGAAGAGCTTGAGCCCATGATCCCCATGTCTTATTCAGGCTGGCATCAATTTTTTTATTACTTGAATCTATATTTACGACCTTGTTACCAGTAAAGTTCACTTCAACGTCATCCTGACTTCCCTTGTATTTCTTGCTTTTTTCAGATCCATGATCAGCATCTCTCTTGCTCTTTTGCTCTGTGCCAGCCTTCACAATTGATGCAAAAGCTTCAAATAGTGAAGTGTAAGCCTCTCTGAGAATCTTGCAGCCTTTATTGTAATCATTGTTGAGACAATCTGGCCTTTGTGAATTCATATTCGGTCCAAGAACATGTATTACATGGGTTACTCCCTCTCTAGCAAACAGAGGAGAAGATGAAGGTAGAGGGACAGCAACAGCATTCCCGGGCAAAAGCAATTGTGCTCGTTCTTTGGTTGCAGTCTCCAAGACAGGACCTGCAGCCTTGAAAACTGCAGCATTAACTCCTCCACCTCCAGGTTTCAATCGCCTGCAATTAAAATTAACAGGTTTAGCTGACTTGTCAATACATCCTATCAGTTTATTGAAAGTTTTAAAAGCAAACGTGGGTGATGGAAAAGTCTTTGCTAATCAGATTGGAATAAACCAGGAACATGGTGTGAAATGAGATAATTAGGAATGAATAACCAAACACAAGACAATTTAGCAACCAACATAGAAAGACAATAATTGAACATAAATTGACATACACATGTGACCTGTGAAGGATTATGGTATATTCTCAAATGTTTATGACTTTTCTTGTACAGCTGTATAGATTTACGTGTTAGCTGCAATTAGATTGTTATGTACACTGAAACTAAAAGAAAATTACCAGTTGGCAGCATTAGCTATCACAGCACAGTGCAAGCCCCCTGCGGACTTAAGGCAAGTAATGTCCCCAACATGTGTAAAAAACTTTCTGGGATCTAAGTTCTTTTTAGAAGCTTTAGCTTTAACTAAAGACAGAATCTTTGAACCATGAGTTAAGTCAACTAGAGCAAATCTAGCATTCACAAGCTTATTTGAGAACTCCAAAACTTTCTCCACAATAATATCAGCTGCCTTTTCATGGTCAAATTGGAAATCAGATGTTGAAATAGATGGAAATGCCAAAGTGGGAGCGTCACCCATGAAAGTAGGATCAACTTGAGAAACAATGGAACCAACTGAGATATTTTCTACATTCATTGACCCTAAGTTGGCTTTATCTGAATTTGATGGGAAATTTTCCACATCTTTATGGTAGGGATCTATCATCCCATTACTTTTAGAAGTAAAATTTCCACCACAACTCTCTCTAGACTCAGCAACAACTGGGACCTCCGCCTTTTTGAAAAACTTCATTATATCCACTTGAACTTTGGCATCTTTACTTTTCTGGCCAAAACATCCATGTGGAAGGTTATCCAGTGGCCCAAGTGCACTATACGTGTTGATAGCTGCTTTGACATCAATCTCAGTCTGACAAAATGTTATCCGGTTAAACCCTTCACTTAACGTAGGCAGCTCTTTCTTTTGAAGCATCCTATTCACTACTGCAGCAGCTTTTCCACCCTGCAAATTGCCTTCATGCCCAGTTCGTTTGACACATCGGGAAATACAAAGCTTTGCTGGAAGATCAAGCACAATGGCATGAGCATCTATTTGGGGTCCACAAAGCTCTGCGAATCCTGAACGCTGTTCTCTATCAAGGTTGCATCTGTCAATAAATACATTCTTTCCATCCTTCAATGCTCCAGCTGCACTGCTTAGACACTGAGCTTTGTTTCCTGCTTTTCCATTTCCAATGATATCCTAAATCAAAAGGAAAGACAGGACATGATAAACATTGTTATGGAATGTTTAAAAGCTATTATTGTTGTGTCACCTCTGGGAAAGGGAGGACGGTTTTTATTTTCCTCTTTGGGGTTGGAGGGAAGTTGAGCAGAAGCTCCTTACCCATGGATCAAGAATTATCCAAAGACAAAAAACTTTCATTTTTTTTCTCAAGATCAAGTTAATTACCCACTTCAATTAATTTAGACATGAATGATCAATACCACTAGCAAAATAAGTTAAAATAAGTGGATATGATTACAAATGCTTCAAAAAGCTTCAATTAACACCAAACAAAAAAAAAAATACGGGTAACTTTACAACATTACTATTCACCAGACGAGATTGAAATTCCTTGCTTAAACAAATGAATCCATAAATTTCCAGATAGCTTAACCCCTCAAGCCAACAAGAATAGGCACTTAAAGATATATAAAAATTGACTGGGCTACTTCAAATTTGAAACCGCGCACGGTATATCAGGATAAAAAAGAAAACATAAATGGGATAACGATCTCGTCATTCAAACTATGAACCCAAGCTAAAATAGAAATGCCACCCAGAATTGATGCTCAAGACAGTTACAAAGACAAAACGGTAAAACTCAGCAAAATACATTATGTTTACTTCAAAGGCAGGAAACACCATGAAAGAAATTAAAATCTTGAATGCTGAAATTAAAGCTCGACGAGATATTTTATGAAAATATAAGTGGGGAGAAGCAACCCAACCTGGCAGACGCGAACCCAAGGACGAGTAGAAGAACGCATAACTTCTTCGCAGAAAGTGGACTTGCCGCTCCCTGGTGCCCCCACTAACATGACCAATAAGAGCTTTTCCTCTGCCAGACAAATTGCAAGCTCAATACACACCAATTCATTCTTCATTGATGAGAAGGTTTAGTTTCTTGATTAATCACAAATAACGAAACGTATATGATAAAAATATGATTCGATTTCTGATACCATACCTTTGGGTTTAGAAGTTTCATCGACGTCCATCTTCTTCAAGTTTCAATCTTTCTTTCGGCCCCAGGAGATGTTAGATCGTACTTCGCATATGGCAACTGAGACTGACGAAAGTCGAAAACGCCAATGCAACTGGTCGGATCGGTGGTATTTTTCCCATTATACCCGTAAAACGAATGTTTTTATAATTTTCTTATTAAAACACGGAATTTTTATCTTGCTCTTAAATTTTTAAAGGCAAATATAATTCATTTATATAAAACAAAATAAAAAAATATAACTTTAGATATTTACATTTTACTTAAATTTTATTATAAATTTTTATATTTTTTTATATTTTATATCTCTATGTCAAAAAAAAATGTAAAGATTTAAAATACTGAAAAAAGTACAAAAATTTATAATAAAATTTAAATAAAGTGTAGGAATTTAAAATTATATTTTTTTAACAAAAAACTTATAACATAATCAATAAACAGTGAGACCATACTTCAAACTTCATGTGGTCAGAAATATATCTAACCACTTATAAAAATATTTTTAAAAAATACATTATATTTGAAGTTAAATTTAGATTTTGAATAAAATACTTATTTTATATCTTGTCCTCGGAGAAATTACTGCATAACTTTACCCTATTGCTTGGATTTGATTTCACAGAGAAAATAAACGTCAAATTTCCGCAATATGTGATGACTAAGTGAACCAAGTTTCACAGCTATTATTAACCTTAAAATCTGGTTATATCACATTTTCTCCTTACAATGAGTTAAACCAGTCACTGTAGTAACTAAATTTGCACAAGAACTTAGCATTATCATGAATACCACAAGTCATCACAGATGTTTAGGATATATAAAGGAGATCGGTAAGAATATACTCTGTTGCAGAAAACAAAGCACTAACTTAACATTTTGCAGTCACTGCTGGATCTCCAATAACACCGAAAATAAATACAGCGGAAAATCACCATAACTGCTATAAGGTGCCAACAATGTAGCCTGAGGACATAAAATGAAGTCTAGAGAACAAGAAGTATAATCCAAACATTTGGTCATAATCTGACTCTTCTATAGGCAGAACTCAGCCAGAAAAATTAACAAATCAATATGACAGCTTAGCCTCTAGTATGTATCTAGGAAGACAAAACATCATGTTCTTTGTTTATGAAAAAAAACTCTCTCGACATAAGGTCCGGCGTAAGGATAAAAATATTTCTGATCTCCCAAAGGCATTGCCAATTCTTTCAAGGGATTTAGTGAAACGATAACTCCACTTTTAAGTTTTAGCGCCACTTTTCCGCTACTAGTGAGAGCTAATACAGTCCAAATGACCCATAGAGTTGTGAATCGCAACGAAATATCCCAGTCCATGACTCCACAACACCATATATAATCTTTTATCAGCCAAATACTAAAACCACCTTCTTACTCTTCTGAATATTGATGAAGCACAGCAAGCCAATGCCCTCCGTCCAAGATAAATGGCACAGAATAAGGAGATTCTTTCAAATCATCAATTCACCAAAACCTTTCTCCAACCACATGAAAAGACACGATAAATTTCTGAACTTGAATTGCAAGTGGAATCAACTTTTGAATGGTCAGCAAAACACATATGGCCATTGCAGGAAGAGAGAACCGTCTTCAGTGGCTTGAATTGTTCGGTTGAGATGATCATATATGAAGGTTGGATCATTGATGGGGGAATTCCAAGCTTGGCAAACAGAGGTGAACTTCACAAGAAACATGAGGGATAGTCTGAAGGATTTCCACTACAATCCCTGGAGTAAAATTCAGACATTGCTTCAGCTTGGATATCTGGATTCTCCACCTTGACGAGCACTTCAAATGCATAAATAGAAGTCAAATTTGATGTTCAATGCCGGCTGGAAATGGCAAAACTTGCAAAGAGTGATACTCAGAGAAGGCTTAAAATCAAAACCTAAAATCATTTAGCTGATACAACAAACTTATATTATGCCCTGCACCAAAAAAAACATCTCTTTACTCTCAATTTTTTTGCCTATTCTATTTATCCTTACAATCTAAACCAACCTCGAGTGGTAATTTTTGGAAAATTTTTACTTAATTTATTTTCTTTGTTTAAAGTTTTACCCTCTTCTCTCTTTTTTTCTCTCCCTCCCTCTCTGTCTCATTGCACTATATGTAATATAATCATGTGACGTCTGGATAAGGTCTGGTCTCCTCCGTAGCATCTAATCTGAAAAAACTCGATAGCTTGTCACGGTAATAGAAGGTGATAATGTTAAGTGTAAACTTCGAGTTCTGGTATGTTACAATTCTCATAATTAATTAAACCAGGTCATACATTCGAAGAATTAGGAAATACCTTAACCAAAAAAAAAAAAAAAGCAATAAAACCTGCCTTCGAAGTGAATACATAGAGCAGTTTACAGAAAAGACAAAAAATTGCACTTGTATAACACCATAAATGAACCAAACATAGAACATATCACAAAATACTGACCATTGAGTACATCAGAAAATCACCAAGATTTCTATAGAGCAAGAAATACATTCCAATCAAACACTTCCATTGAAAAAATGCCTCTACTACATGTCTTTCGACAGTTGTTAGCTAGTATGACAAAACATCAGTTTTCTTGTTTATGAAAAACAGACTCTCCACATAAGGTCCTGCAAAAGCATGAAAATATTCCTGATCTCCCAAAGACTTAACCGAATCTTCCATTGGATCAAGTAAAACTATAGCTCCACTACAAAGTCTCAGCACCACTTTTCCTCTGCTAGTAAGAGCTAATACAGTCATTATTCCTCCATATCGTTTTAAATCACAACGCAACACCTCAGTCCATGACTCCACAACACCATATTCTTTCATGACCCAAATGCTAAAAAAATCTATGCTCTTCTTTGAATAAGTATGAAGCACAGCAAGCAAATGCCCTCCTTCCAAAATAGATAGCATAGAAGCAGATTCATTCAATTGTCTCGGTAACATTAATTCACCAAAAGTCTCTTCAACCACATTGAATGATAAAACAAAATTCTGAACTTCACTACCATACCTACGACTGACAACCCAATGAACTGAACCATTCACAAACATTTGGTGGGGTATCTTCTGTAGGTGTGCAGGAAGGAAAAACAAAGGAACTCTAACAGTGATGCTTCTCCAAGAACAAGAAGCAAGAGAGTACACCTCAACTTGAGGACTGTCTTGTTCATTGTTGAGAGTCACAAGTCTGACTACTTTGTAATCCTTGTTCTTAGAATCAAAACCAAACGCGTAAAGTAGCCGATATTTCACGCGTTCGATATTATGGTTGCTACGGGCCATGATTTGTTTACGGAGCTTCACGTATTTCCGAAGAGAAGGGTTCCAAATAATGAGAGTAGTAAAGTAAATTATTGAATGTTGAGCGAAACATACAAGCCCATTGCAAGTGCCAACCACGGTTGAATAACCATACAATCGAAATAGACGGGTGAATGAGAATCTCTCAGAAGAAAAGCTATTACATGGTCGATTATCTGAGAAAAGCGAGTAGAATTCCTGATAATCATCAGCGTGCACGTTAGGCTGCCTGCTAGTTGGGCGACGAAGTTGGAGGAGGAGGAAACTGTTACCATTATGGGGTTGCATGGTACGATCGAGGTGATCAGATATGAAGGCGTGATCCGTGATGAGGGAATTCCAGGATTTGCAAACAGTGGTGAATTTGACGAGAGACTTTGGGGGTAGTCTCTGAAGAATTTCCACCATAATTTCTGGGGGTAAATTACCACCAGACATGGCTTCAGTGGAAATAGCGTAGCGTGAATTGGCTTCTACTCTACGCACATAGGTATCCATTTCTGTGGGTATAAATAAGAAACAGAGAATAGACTGTTGGCCGAGAAAAAAAGGTAGAGGATAGGCTTCAATATAATTCCATAGTTTTCGATGCTTTTGTCTGAGCGGTATTTTTTATGACTTCGTTCAATGCTATTAACGTTGGTGTAGTTTGCTATGATTACATTATATTATATTAATTCTCTAATTGACATGATGTGATTCTATTTTGGACTCTTTTGTCTTCTTATTTTTTTTTTTATTATTATTATTTCTAAAGAGGACCAATATATGTGTGCCGGCATAATAGCGTAATCTTTTGAGTTTTCCTTCTTTCCATTTTTTTTCCCCAATTACAAGACAAGGATGGAGTTTCCTTGTAGAATCATGGTATTACAACTTTGACATGCGTTCGCGGGTTAAACCAATAAACTGGTGAAACCGTTTTTTCGCTAATCTGATTAAGAGTTTTGGACAGATTAACCGGAATGAATTTTATTTTACTTTTCTATACTGTTGTGCCTAGAACATCATTTTGAGATTAAAACAAAGGAAAAAAATAACATTTTATCAGGTTTGTGTTTTGGTAATTTTTCTGGGAGATAGAAAGAGGACAAAAAGAAGATTGCCAAACCATGTTACCTTCGCTGGATGTGAGTGTATTCATTATATAAAGAAAATGGTTACAACAGAACATACAACAAAACGTATTACAATGAGACTCACATACAAGCAAGAATATACAATCAACTAGTCTTTAGAATATTCTACACAATGTATAACTAATATTATGCTTTAGAATATTCTAGACAATGTATAACTAATATTATGCTCTAACACTGGGTTTATACATGAATATTCTTTTTTATATATTAATGTCTTTTTTAAAAACATTAATCTTTTTAACAAGGTTTGGAAAACCAAATCAAACCTGCCGATCAGATAAGTAAATTAATGAATTAGCCATATATCCAGTTCAATTTGCTGCTTAGATCGATTAAAGATCAACCTAAATTAACTCGGATGACTCTAAAAAAATCTAAGGTAACCTGTTCAATCCCATTAGTTAGGCAGGATGAACGGGCAACTTTTTTCTGCTCTAGAGATCATCAAAAAAATGAGGAAGAAGCATCAAAAAAAGAAGAGAAAATGAAAAGGAAAAGAAAAACGAAAAAAAAACCAGTCAGATATTCTGACCCCAACGCCAAATCTTGCCATTCATCCTTAGCATCTTGATTCATTTCTATGGTTGAATGTTGAAGTCCATCATACCTTCTGAAACCCCGACAGACTTCTCTATATATGCTTCTGTTTTGTAATAGTGCAAATGTAAAAACTTTTGAGTTTTGAGAATGAAAGGTTGTACCACACACAGAGAGAGTGTGTTTAAAATATATGATTGTACAAAGATGTGATATTGCTATTGCCATCGTTACACTTTCCAACCAAAGTTGATTGACACATTTCGGCTTTTCAATTTTTTGCTTTTCAAACACGTTAATTTTAGATATTACTTTCTCCTATTTTATTTATAAATTATATTTTAAAAAATTTATTTAATCCTTTTTATAAGTTACAGTGCAGCTTTTTAAGTAATATTTAAAATATATTTTTAAAATTATTCTTTATTAAAAAAAAGTAATATAACATTAATTTTTAAATTTATTATATAAGGGAAAAGTACCAAACAAGTTAATTTTAGAAAGGATAGGTTCAACCGCCAAATATTAGCCTGATTCATTTAGAAAATGTTTAAATGAAATTTATTGTTTCTTTTAAACTATTATTATTTTACTTTTATTATTATTAATTTGTTGGAATTTTCTATTATTATTATTATTATTATTAAATTTTATTAGGCTATTTGAGTTAAATTATTTAAATTTTTATTTGGATTGTAATAACATGCATAAGATTTTTTTCTCTTTAAATTTTTGTTGGGTTATTGGAGTAAAGATAATGATTTTTTAGGTATATAAATTAAATTATATTATTTTAATTAAACCAGTTTGATCCCAAATTGACCCCTGGTTGAACCACTACTATTACAGAATAGGTTTTTGATATACGTGTAAAAAATATTTTTAACAGCAGTTATACAACCGTTGTTATTTTAGGAAATGCTAAAAGTCTGTAACTTTCAATAGCAGTTGGACAATTACAATTAAAAATAAACTTTCAATAGTGATTCCAAGTCTATTGTTGAAAGTTGCCCAAAATTGAAATTTTTGAAAAAAAGCCTGTGACTTTTAACAGCGATTATGACTATAAGCGCTATTAAAAATCCACTTTTCATAGTGATTATGACCATAACTGCTGTTAAAAATTATCTTTTAAATTGAATTTATTTTTAATTATTCTCCCAATTCTTGCAATTCAAAATGTGCTATACAATTTATCTAGTACATGTAAACAATCCAATTTTTAATACAAAATTTTATAGAAATTATATAAAACTCAAAATTGCTTATACAATTTTTTAAAAAAATTAAATAAACCTCACATACCATCTATAAAATGTTGTACCCGACCTGTGAGGATGCCATCAATCTCTTCCTCAAAAAATGAATCCGTTATGTGAAGCATCTAAATTAAATTATGGTAAAAGCTATTGAATAATATCTATTATAACCTTTAATAAACTAGGTACAAATGGAGACATAATTTTATTTTATACTCATTCATGTAAAATTGAAAAAAAAAAGAGGTTGCAAGTATGGAAAAGTTAGTATTGTAAGAGTGAGGAAGTAAATATCAACACAGGAGCTGTGAACAATGTATTTTATCTAGGCATTTTTTTAATTTAAAAAATAATAATAAATAAAAAATATATATATAAAAATATAAAAATAAAATTTAATCTTTTTTAGGATTATATTTTTAAAATAAAAAAATACTTTAATTAATAGGATTTAATATTATAATCTGCTGATTAGGATTTTATTTCTTTAGCTCATTAAAACAACTAAAAATATAATAAATATAAAAAATAAAAATTCAACCCTTTAAGGATTATTTTTCAAAAAAAATAGATAAAAAATTAAAAAATTGTGGTTAAATGTGTGTGTGTGTGTGTGTGTAAACCGAAGATTAAACGCTGACTCCAGCATTTAACCATCTGTTCTGGTCCTTCATTGCAGAAACACCAGACGAGCGAAGGAAGCACAGAGTAGAACATGTACACACATACACGAAAGGAAGCTTCACAGCGCAGAACACACACACACATACACGAAAGGCATAGAGAAAAGAAGCCAAGAGCAAAGCAGGCTTGAACTTTCAGCTAGAGACACATGCATGAACATTGCAGCAAAAAAGAATAGAAAAAGAGAGAAGAACAGAGCAAAAAGGAAACACGCAAACAGCTTTCACACGCAAGCTTCATCTTCTTTAAAAAGAAGGACTAGAGACGAAGAAAAAAGGGGCCAAGTGAGAGATACATGAGAAGTAGAGATAGAGGAGAGGATGAAGAAAGCAGCACGAGAAGCTTAGACAGAGACAAAGATCATGAGAAGCAAAGACAAAGAAGGACTGGAGATGAAGAAAAAGGGAACCGAGTAAGAGATACACGAGAAGCAGAGATGAAGGGGAGGAGGAAGAAAACAGCACAAGAAGCTTGGACAAAGACAGAGATTATGAGAAGCAGAGACGGAGAAGGATTGGGGATGAAGAGAAGAAGGAAGAGACTGAGGAGGTGAGGGGAGTCTGGAGGAAAGAAAAAAACAATGAGGACCAGCAAGACAGAGAAGAGACGGAGAAAAAGAAGAGAGAGACCGAGAGGGAGAAACAGGGAAGGAAAAGCAGCATAAAAACACAGCACGCGTGCAACTTTTTATACACTGAGTGATGCTGAGAGAGAGAGCAGTGACCGAGTGTAGGAGATGAAGACGAAGGAATGAGAAACAGAGCAGAAAAAGAAGGGAGGGAGAGACCAAAAATTGGACGAAAAAAATAGAGCACCAAGGAGCACACAGCATAGATGAAGAAGAAAGAAAGCAAAGAGCAAAATGAAAACAAAAAAAAAAGGGCCAGACATGCATGAAAAAAAAAGAGAGAAGAGGGTGGCTTCGGTGATGAAGAGAGCTAACCGAAAGATAAAAAAGAGACGACCTGTGATTTTGGCTTTGGATTTTTGAGGTGGAAATGAATCGAGAGAAGAAGATGAAAACGATGAAGAAGGAGGAGGAGAAAGGAGCTAACGGATCAGATGGAAGGTGAAGATGAAAGGTGATGACGTGGAGAGTAATGGCTCAGTATCAAACGGGTAATAATTTTGCTTGTTCATTCTTTAAAGCTTAATCTGTGGGATTAATGGAGTAACTAGGAAATTTCAAAATTTGTATAGATCACATGATTTATTTTGTGTGACATTGTACCAAGTTATGCGTTTTGGGATTCTCCTTGTCCTTTTGCATGTTTTAGACTATCATTGAAATTATTTCTGACTATGAGCTTCACAATTATTTGTTGGTTGTAAAATTCTTAATAAATAATATTTAAATCTATTTGCAGTGTGAGATTTCAAAATCCTACAAACATTTAAATTTAAAATGATCCTATATCGTAAAAATTAATAAGATTTCACAGGTATGAGGATCAATTTTATATAATAATATGGGTTCTAAAGACTCATCATCAAAATTAATTCTCTTTTATAATCAATAAAATATTTAAGTCTTATGAAAGATTTCAAGAATTTTCGTAGAGACTTAAATTAATTACATTATCGTGTGAGATAATAAATCTTTGCAGATATAGTGATTCTAAATTTTATGATAAATAAATGATTTTTGTAAATAATGATATAATACACAATTTAAAAAAATTAATTAGTCAAATTAATGGATTTAAATTGTAATCATATTTATCGATTATATCTTTTAGTCATGTGAGATTTTTAAATCTCCGTAGACTTTTAAGATAATCATATTATTGTATAAGTCAATAAGACTCTGCAGATATAATGATTAAGTTTTTAAAATATATATAAATTATATATTAAATCAATCAAATAAATTTAATTCTTTTATCATGTAAGATTTTGGAATCTTCACAGTATTTTGGATAATCATATTACCGTATAAACTAATAAGACTTTGAAGGTATGATGATTAAAATTTTCTAAAAACATGTATATGCATGTTTGAATAAATTATTACTAACATAAAAATAAATTTAATTCTTTTATCGTGAGAGATTTTAAAATCTCCGTAGATATTTAGAATGATTGCATTATCATATAAGCTAATAAAGCTCTACAAGAATTACGATTAAATTTCTAATCATAAAATATAGAAAAATAATTGTAAACCCTTTTATTTTTCAAAAATTGAGAAAATAATTAAAATTAAATTACTTTTACAATTTAAAACACACATATCAAAATTTTAGAAATTTTATTTGCAAAATGGTGAATTATTTCTAATGGTGAATTATTTCTAATTAATTTCTCTTAAAAAAAATATTTTCACCAACAAACTTTTAAGCCTGAACTACGTGAACTTTGATCCCCACCGCAGGGTATGTAAGCCTCAGAGTTGGATTCTGAGTCAAATCCTCTCTCGTAAATAAATAAATATTTCTCACTTAATTCTTATCATTTTATATCAAACACATGAATATAAAAGGGATAATTAAAATAATTTTAAAATTATATTAATATAGCACAATAAATTTCAGATAACCGTTCTGACGAACGGGTGTTGTGGGGTGCCTAACACCTTCCTTATACTCAACCGACTTTCGAACCTATTTTCTGCTTTCGCAGACCATCCTTATCCTCCTTTAAACGGTTTTTCAAGATTTTTCTCAAAATTTTAGTGGCAATTTTCATTTCTTCGGTCTTCTTTTTGAAGGTCAGAACCTCTGCTCTTGTGCCGTCCGCATCGCATTTTTGAATGTGACAAGAGCCTTATTTGTTAAGCATCTAATGCAAGCATGAGTCATGGCATAGACAGAAGCCAACTTACAATCAATTTTGATAATAGAAAATTGCAGTAGCAGGTTAGAAACATAGCAAATTTTAGCAAATGAAAGTGAGAGATGCTATTTCAATCTAGAATACTTAACAAGAATGCCAAATGAAATGTGTTTTTTTTTTTGGGGGGTATCTTGGTGAACATCATCACACCCAAGCTATGAACCCAAAAAAAAAAAAAACTAAATCTCGCATAATCTAGAAAGATAAATAAAACATGCACGGTGTTCAAAAATCGTATGATTAAACGCCACTAAGTGAGACAAATGAAGTATTTTAAATCCCAATTTTGAGTTGTAGCTTAAAGAGAGGCGGTGGATTCAATAAAAAATTCAAACAATAAGCAAATCCATTAAAGTAGCCATTATATCCAGCATACGTGAAAGAAAATAAAAAATTTATAAGGGATATATCAGTCAACCAAGAATTTAACATGTACGTGTCTAAAGCATTCATCATGCGAAAATCTTCAAAATAAGCAAATTGCAAGAATAATCGACAACTACCAGACGGACGGCAGCGACGGCTCGGCTTCTTCGATGGACTCGGTGACGGAACAATTCGATGATTACTCAACTTCTTCAATCTACTCCATCAGGCACAGATCAGCGACAACAGCAAAGAATGGTAACGGAGGGGAGGTGGGTGAGCAACAGAGGGAGAGGGAATGGCAAGGGAAGACAAAAAATGCAAAGAGAACCCTTTTTTTATAAGTTTGAAAACATTTAACAGCAAATGACATCACCGTTATTGAAAATAAACTTTATTGTTGTATGTTATATGTATTTTTTTATTTTTAAATTCTTAACAGCGAGTTCTACCTCAACTATTATTAAAAGTTAAACTTTTTAATAACAATGATGTGACACCTGTTTTGAAAGTATTATATTTTAATTTTTTTAAAAGAATTTAAAACTTTTAATAGTAGGTAAAATTACACTCATTGTTAAAAGTAGTTTTTATGATGATTTATTTTAAATCTAATGTTAAAAGTCATACTATTATAATTAATATTATAAAAATGACACCGCTTCTACTTTTAACGGTGAGTACCTGTTAACTGATATAAAAAGTTTCCTATAAAAACTAAAATTTATACTAGTGCACTAACCATTAACTCACCATCTTAAACAGTTAATAACCGATCCAATTTTTTGTACCTAACTTTTTAAAGTTGCATATAAATATTTTAAATATTTTAATCATGATTAAGTTGACTTCAATTCAATTATAGTTACACACTTACACTGTTGACCATTCAATTTATTTCAATTAATTTAATGATTAATCTCATTTTCAATACTTTATACCGGACAATTACCCCTCGTTCGTTTTTCAGATGTAGTTAATATTTTTCATGTTCTTTTTTGATTAGATAGTCAATATTTCATGTTGTATTTGAAAAAAATTACAAAAGCTGCCGCCTCAATTTATTTCAATCCCCAGTGTACCTCCTTTCACATCAAAATAATTAGGTTATGTCTCTAAAACATTTAAAACTTTTCATATATACCTTTTATAAAAAGTACAATTGACTCTCATAATGAAAAATAAGCTAAATTAATGAAGTCAAGTAATTTTTTTCATTTGTCAAGAACGTCTTTAAAATCAACATAATAATTGCTCTTAACATTCTCCAAAATGACTTATGAAATGAAAAATTAAAATTGAGAATATCTACCAAAAGCTGGGTATAATAATAATAAAATCAAGTTCATGTCTTGAAAAACCCAAAAGCTTGCCATGGTAGCAGTTTTGTCTTGATTAAGTGAACCAAGTCTCAAAACAAATATAAACTTCAAGGTATGATTATATCACATGTCTCACTACAATGAATTACACCAGATCATGCAATCAAAAGGAAAAATTAGGTAACACTAACAATAGACAGTAAAACCTGCCCTCTAAGTAAATACACAAAGCAGTTTACATCAAAGAAAAAGAAAATCCATTTTCAGAACATCATAATGTACTAAATCTCAACATTATACTAGCAAAGAAGCACACTGCCTTGATTTTCAAACAATCTCTTCCCACAGATTTCTTAAGCTTAAAACATGTTCCGTTTCATGCAGGACGTTTTCATGAAGAAAAGCCATGAGGGCTAAGACAGAGAATACAGGTTGTGAAGCTTCCCGACAAAAAATATTATACTTGCACTTATGTTAGATACTACAGATCACAAATGCATGGGGACATATACATTGAAATAGCAAAGAAAAAAAAATATACCATGTTGCATAAAACAGAGCACAAACTTGACATTTTGCTGTCATGTTCTGATCTCCAACATAAAACTTAACCCCCAAAAAAAAAAACACACTGAAGATTGAGTACAGAAGAGAATCACCGTTACTGCTTATGGTGGCAAACAATGCAGTGTAATTAAGTGCTGTGTATGACTTCTAGTGAAACATTTAGTCTTAATCGAACACTTCTATGACAAAAATTCATTTTGAAACATCAATCAATGACCCTGCCTCTTCTATAAATCTTCTAACAATTGTTAATAGGACAAAGCAGCATGTTCTTTGTCTATGAAAAATTAAAGGGCTGTTTAAAACTGTTTTTATTTTATTGTTCTGAAAACTGTTGTTCTGTAGAACATATTCTAAGAACAAAAAAATAATGAAAATAAGTGTTTTTTTCGTTCCCTCTTGTTCTTCAGAATAATAATCACAGAACACTTAAAAGTTGTTTTCATTTTTCTGTTCTCCAAAATAATATTTTGTTTTTTTATTCTTCAAAACACTTTTTGAAAACACGTTACCAAATAGATTTTTTTGTTCTTTTGTTCTGGAAACAGAAAATTGTTCCCAGAACAGGTTTTCAAACAAGCCCTAAATTTCCATGTAAGGTCCAACAAAAGCATGAAAGTATCTCTCTGGTTCTAAATCATGAAAATATCTGACGTCCCAAAGGCCTTACCAATTCTTTCATAGGATCTACGAAAACTATAGCTCCATTGTGAAGTCTCCTAGCCACTTTTCCACTGCTAGCAAGACCTGATATGGCCCCATAGCGCAATAAATCACAACAAAACACCTTAGTCCATGACTCCACAATTAGAATTTCATATTCCCATGGCGGCAATATGAGATTATGTGAACCAAGTCTCAGCAAATATCAAACATCAAATTCTCGTTTGATCACAGTTCTCATTACCATGAATTGAACCAGCTCATACATGCAAAAGGTAAATTAAGAAACTCTACAACAAACGATAATAAAATCTGCCTTTAAAGTGAATATATAGAGCAATATACAGGAAAGAAAAGAACAGAATCCATTCTTCTTCTCTGACTTCCAGAGAACGAGAATTATAATCCAAACATTTGGCCTTAATCTGACTCTAGAGGCAATAATCCAGCCAGCAAAATCAATCCATCCATAAGACAACCTTGCCTTCACCCTGTATATATCTACAATTTCTAGCAAGACAAAACATCTGGTTCTGTATTTATGAAAACCAAACTCCCAACATAATCTCCTACAAAAGTGGGAAAATATTTTCGATCTCCCAAAGGCTCCACCAACTCTGTGATTGGATCAAGTAAAGCTATAGCTCCACTGCGAATCCTTAGCACCACTTTTCCATTGCTACCAAGAGCTAATACAGTAACTATGCCCCCATAACGTTTGGTATCACAACAGAACACCTCAGTCCATGACTCCGCAACACCATATTCTTTCATTATCCATATACTATAAAAATATTGGTTCTCTTCTGAGTAAGTATGAAGCACAGAAAGTGAATGCCCTCCTTCCAAGATAGATAACACAGAAGTAGAATCTCTCAGATGTTGTGGTAACGTTAATTCTCCAAACGTTTCTTCAACCGCATCAAATGACAAAATAAAATTCTGAATTTGACCGTCACATCTACGGCTGACAACCCAGTGTACAAAACCGTTCACAAACACCTGAGGTATATTCCGCAGATGCTCAGAGAGAAGAAAGGAAGGAGCTCTAGCAGTGATGATTCTCCAGGAACGAGAAACAAGAGAGTAAACCTCAACCTGAGGTGTATCTTCTTGTTCATTGCAGAGAGCCACAAGTCTAATTACCTTGTGATCCTTACTCCTAGAATCAAAGCCAAACCCAAAACAAAGCCGGTACCTCTCATGTTCGCGATTGCCGGTCCTGCAGGTCACGATTGGTTTGGGAAGCACCACATATTTTCGAATCGAAGGGTTCCAAATAAGGTGAGTAGCTGAATCAAGCATTGAATAATCAGCAATACATACCAGACCATCGCAAGTTCCAACCACCGTTGAATAATCATACAATCGGAATAGGTGAGTGAGCGGGAATCTCTCAACAGAGAAGTGATCAATTTGTTGGTTGTCAGAGTACAGTGAGTAAAATTCCCCATAATCGAAGCGCTCGTTCTGCAATTCCCAAGTTCGACGACAGAGTTGAAGAAAGAGGGTATCATTTCCATCGCTGGCTTCAATTGTTCGGTTGAGATGATCAAATATGAAGGTATGGTCCGTGATAAGGGTATTCCAAGCTTTGCAAACGGAGGTGAATTTCACAAGAGACTTGAGGGGTAGTCTGTGAAGAATTTCCACAAGAATTTCTGGAGGTAAATCACCAGACATAGCTTTCAGCTTGGAAATCTGGACTCTATCCTTAATACTCTGCTCCTTAGCACTTCACATAAACTTTTCAGTTGAGGCCGTCAAAATAAAATAATACAGCAGCAGCACACCATGGGAAGTCCAGACAAGAACACAAATATCAAATAACTAACGCCAACCTAACTTGGAAAGAGGGGAAATCACCTTTCGCTCACCATCCAATGCTCAATCTTCTCCCAATCTTAATACTACAATGGCGCCAGAACTGAAGAATATTAGTCAACGAAGAGAGGAACCAGCCAGGAAACATCCCGTTCTCTTCAGCCGCAGTGATCGTCGATGCTGAAGAAGGCCAACTTATGCCACTTACCAGGTGTCACACTATGAAGCATACAAATCGAACGCCTCTCAGATTCTTTCACGGAAGCTCCCATCGTGGTCTTCTCACGGGACCCTCACCTTCACCGGCCGCGTTTGAATTTTGATTATCAGTTTTGACGACTGATTTTTTCTGAAAAATTTAAGAAAAAACATTGTTTGAAAATGTAGTATTTTCTGTTATATATTATTTTAAAACACAAAATAAAATTAAAAGTTTTTTTTGAAAAAATAAAAATCAAACTATTTTTTTTGTTATTTTTATTCGACAAAACTAGGGAAAAGACAAAAAACAATCTTATACTCTCATTAATGACAATTATATTAATAAAATAAATTATTCTTTTACTTTTTATTTCATCAATTTAAATATGTTTTTTAAATAATAATTCAAACAATTTTTTATTTTTAAAACTTATTTTAAAAAATTATTATAAAGAATTGTTTTAAGAAATTAAAAACAGAAAACAGAAACATATTTTTTATACTCATTGTTCTCAGTTTCTTAACCTCTCTCACAATACTGTATGCTGTAATTCATTTACTGGAAAGGCTGGAGTCGGATAAAATTACCCACAAGCCATATATGGATGTGTTATGGTCTAGCATTAAAGGTGTTAATTAGGGTCAACCTTTAAAGGGTTAAGATCTAAATAGACTAACTCTATAAAGCACGATTACATTTCAGAGTTTCAGTTTGGCCAACCCGGTCCTGGCCCTCAGGGCTAAAGAGCCAACCCTCAGGACATCGGCCCTATATTTTTTAATTTAAAAATGTTAGAAAAACATATTTAAAATTAAAAAAAGTTATTATACGTAATATTAAATCTATAAAAATAAATTTAAGTCAATACACATAATAATAATTTTAAGACTAATAAAAAATAACAATATTACAAAATTAATACTAATAATAATCAGACTTTGCTAGCATTATCAACAAAATCTTAATGATTTGTATTATCATTAATATCAATATAATTCAATACTTCTCTTTATGAAGCATCAATAGTGACAAAGATATTAAACTTTTTATATATTCTTTCTTCACCTAAGTGAAATGAGGCTATGGTTTTAGAATTAGTATAATGTTTAATTTTTAAACTATTAAAATTTTAAAAAAATTTATAAAAGGACCTGCCTTTTTATTTTATGACAGGGCGCCTTTTTAAACATGAATTATTATTTTACACTTTGAAAAAGTAGTTCAATCTTAAATTTTCTTTGAGTTTAAAAAAACTGACGAAATAGACTCAATCTTAATTCGCATTCTATCTAGCACAGCATAGGCCATGCAACTGGATCCCACTAAAAATTGCAACAAAACTCAGCAAATTACAATACCCAAAGCAAAACGGAAATGTCTCAATCACAATGTTTGACTTGTACTCAGCGAGAAAATACGGGGAAATGGAAGGATAAAGACAAAAGAACGTACTTCCATAATCATTCCACCAACTAACTTTGCCTGCGTTATTATTGTTACACGGAATCTTTCCATTTTTATATGGTCATTTTTCCTCAACTTCTTTAACTATAATCATTAATCATTAATATCATTGCATTAATTTAGTCATAGATTTGATAAATTGTTCTAGTCATGTAAGTTGATAAAAAGAAGATAATGAGAAAATAGAAAGTTTCCACGTCCAAACCTCCCACCCCATCCAATTCACGTAGTCTCAAGCTTTTCCTTCACTCACTGGCTCTGCTCATTACTTGTTTGTTTGGGCTTCCTTTTGAGCCTTTATCCTGGTCCTCTCTCATTGGATCAATTGGCTTCACAGCATAGAATGAGAATTAAATAGTATCTAAATGCATTTTACTAAATCACTCATACTATCTTACCATATGTTTTAGGCGGGAGAGAATTCAGAAAGGAATGACAAGAAAGAATGATCTGTTTCCGTATTATTAGACTCATGAGTGCCTCCACATGTAGGTACAATGATAATATGCTATAATGAATTTGTCTCTCTTGGCTGATGTGCCTGAACGAATGATAGAGTATAAAATTAATTAAGAAAGTCACCATAAAGTATTCAATTAAGAGTTATGTCGCTATTCCAATTAAAAAGTTTCTGTGGGAATTAATTTCCCAGAAGAAATTATTAGTGTCTGGTTTTCTAATCACAAATGCTTGCCAATAACAGTGAATTTTTCTTGGCGAGCAATAAAAAAAAATAAACAAATAAAGCAAAACAAATATTTCAGAGAACTAGCTAGAAATATGATTTTGGCAGCAACTCCATGAAGCATGACTTTGAGTGGTCTTCAACTGCTTGTTTGCAAATTATCACATTGACTTCAGTAAGAACAAACACCTTGTTCTTTGTTCATCAAAAACAAACTCTCAGCATAGCTTCCAACAGAAGTATTCATGTCTCTCCCAATTTCCAAATCCGACACAGATTGCTTCTCCAAATCAACTAAAACTATTCCTCCATTACCACGCTTTAGCACAATCTCCCTTTCCCCAAGGGCTGATACCATTGATGTAACCCCATAGTCACTTGAATCAAAACAGAATACTTCAGTCCATGATTCTGCAGAACCATATTCTTTCATCACCCGAACCCTAAAAAGTCTCTGGCTAGACTCTAAATAACAAGTAGGGATAGCAAGTGAATCCAATGTTCCTGCCCAAAAAGTCACCTTGGAAGGAATCTTCTTCAAACAAGGTCCTAAACTCAGTTCTCTAAACGTCTCCTTAATGACATCAAATGACAAAACAGAATAGTCACAATCGTTTCTTTTACGCTTCACAACCCAATGAATCGCACCATTCACAAACATCTGGTGGGATAATGTTTCCTCGTCAACGATAAATGAGAAAGTTCCATTGGTAACGCTTCTCCAAGAAGCAGAAGCAACAGAGCAAACCTCAGCTTGAGGAACTGTTTCATTCTCATACCCAAAACCTGTGAGTTTTAACCACCTTGAAGTCCTTGTTCTTGGAATCATAACCGAACCCTAAAAGACAGTGAAGCCTTCTGTCCTTGCTCATACATATTTTTGGTGTAGCAGGAAGAATGACATATCTTCGAATGGATGGATTCCAAATAAGAACTTCAATGCTACAATTTTGAAGCTCGTCAGCAAGACATATCAGACCATTGCAAGTGCCAGGCAATCACTACTAAAAAAATATAAATTAGTGATGGAATTTAGTAAGGGATCTTCTGTTCCTCTTTAAAATACCAAATTAGTGAAGGATGTTGATTTTGTAGCTTGACTTGCTATTAGTGAAGAAAATAGTGAGGGATTGTCAATCCCTCTCTAAAATAAGAAAATTAGTGAAGAAAATAGCAAGAGACTGTCAATCCCTCTCTAAAATAAAATAATTGGCAAGAAAAATAGCGAGAAACTACTAATCCCTCTCTAAAATAAGAGAATTAGTGAGGAAAATAGCAAAGACTGTCAATTTCTTTCTAAAATAAGACAGTTAGCTAGAAAAATATCGAAAGACTGCAAATCCCTCTCTAGAATAAAATAATTAGTGAGGGATTCTATCCCTAACTAATCACTATAAAAAAAATTAACTTTTGGCATTGACTTTTAATTATATGTTTAATTATTTTTATTTAAAAATAAAAATTAAATTTAAAATTTAACTAAAATATTCATAATAAAATTATTTAATATTTAATATATTCTTTATTTTAGTTGATTTTCATTAATAAAATAATATTTTATTAAAAATATAATGTAAAGAATAATTTAAATAAAATATAAATATTTTTAACATATTAATAATTGAAAATAAAATTTAATATATATATATGTGTATATTTTTATAATATATTATTTGATATATTTATGTAGTTAAATAATATATATTTAATTTCTCATATAATAATTACAGGTGCCTTTCAGTTCAACATGTCATGAGTTGGATGATGTAGCATCACTATTTTTAAATAAAGGCATATTTAGTGAGAAATTAGCACTAACATTATTCAAAGAGATCCAATCCCTTGCTAAAATTAGCAAGAGATTGAATCTCTCATTAAATCCCTTGCTAATTAGTGAGAGAAATACAATCCTTTACTAAATTTAATGAATCTTTTTTTAGTTATGAATTTCGTGATGGACAAAATCCCTTGCTAAAATGCAATTTAGTTAGAAAAAATGACATTTAATGAAAGATTTATCCCACGCTAAATTCGATTTTTCTAATAGTGAATGTCCGATGCCAACTCAAATGAGCGCATAGAAAAACAGTGAGTGGGAATTTCAGAACTGAGAGACCATGACTTCTTTTCTGATGATGATTATCTGAACTCAGTGAGTAATACTTGTCAAGATGAAAGTCCTCACCACTCTCCGTCTTGCAATATTCCTTCATCGGAGTACATAGCTGAATAAAAAGAGACTCACTACTATGTTTGGCTTGAAGGGTACTTTCAAGGTGGTTAAATGCGAAGCAACGATCAGTGATTAGAGATTTCCAGGATTTACAAACAGACATGCATGTCGCTACAGATTTTAGTGGTATTCTGCGAAGAATGTCCTCCCAAATGTTTAGAGGCAAATAGTCAGACATTGCTTTAACGAAAGAAAGAATATTCAGAGTTGCAAATTTCCGTAAGCAATGAAGAAGGAGGAGAACTAGGGGAAGAAGACGATAACACCACGTGCTAGTATTGAAGCATATATATGATTAGTTGCTTGACAATTCTGGGAAGGCTACAACAGGAAGAACATAACGGGATTGGTGAATTGGGTTAACGTCCAAGAAGAAAAAAGAAAAAAGAAAAAACTAGAGGATAGGATTGAGATTTGAAGGTCACCAAACAAATATGGTTGCATTTTGGGGGGAAAAAAAAAGATTCGGTTATTTTGAATGTAGATTATGAGAGATCAGTGTGGATAACTTAAATTTTTATTTCTCTGAGTCACATTTTTATCGAGAAATAGTATGAATTTTTTTGGTAGAAAGAAAAAGGATGAATTTAACAAATCTTATTTAAACTTCAAAGATTGTATCTCAAAATTTAAAAAGTGATCTGCGCACCATAATAGATGGACATCGCACAAGATATAAGCCGATACATATCATGAATATTATAAAATCTTACCTCCATGCATACTACAAAACAATACTATACTTACAGAGACATGAGGATTTTTTTTTATTTAAAAATTAGCCATAATTTTTTAAAATTTTTTAATTTAAATTATTTTAAATAAATTTTTTTTAAAAACAATATTGGGTTATTAAATGTGAGTAGATTTGGCTTGATGTAAAGAAAAATCCTGAGATAATTTTTTTAATTAAAAAATGTTGGGTTGTTAAGTGTGAATGGATTAGGCTTAATGTAAAAAGAAGTTTTTATTAGATAAAGTTGAGTTAGATAAAAGATAAACAAGTAAAAAAAAAAACTCATAAACTTAACAACATAAAATTTAGATTAAAATGTAGTATCATACCCATTTATACATTTACATCCTCTTACAATCATTGAGTGCCCCTTCTTGTGTTCTTATTTTTCGAGATACTTTCCAAGCCCAACAAATTAGAGCCTCCTTTCGAAAAGAGGCCTAGTGTGAAGATGATGAAAACAAAGAGAGCATAAGCAACTAATTATATTGATATGAAATAACAAATGTCAGTTAATAAATTATATGACATATATAGTGCCTGCTCTGATTCCCGTAAATATTAGGAATTAACTCACCTTTTCTCTGGTATAGAAAAAAATGACGTGTGTAATTTTAAACCGAATACTTACCTAAGTATAGTATTATTAAAAATAAAAAGACAAAAATTTAAGTCATGTATAGTTTTTAGTTGTGGATTTGGCTTCAAGGTTACTAACAAAAATAGGCCACAACAATTGATTGATGTTCTTACTATACTTTGTCCTATAAAGCTATCAGTAATGATAGGGTCAGGTCGGTCCTAGCAGGTTTCTTTGTTAGGTCCTATATTTTTTAAGAATTGAGGCTTTAAAAAATAAAGAATTTAAATATAAAAAGATTTTTAAAACCCACCCCCAAAAAAAAAAAAAGAGTTTGAGCTCCGGCCAGCTCTTAAGCTCTTATTATTTTTTAAAATTTTTTTGTTTACATAATTTACATAAATTTTGAATTAATATATGAAAATAACATAATTAGTTAAATATTTATTCTAGGTTATAAATATGAAGTTGGGGAGGCTGTTAAAATATTTAACATCACCTCCTCCAACTGTACCTCTCTAATGTTTTATTTTTATTTTTTTTAATGAAGAATGATGATAATAAAGGCCAAGACATTTTGAATTATAGATATATTTTTAATTTTTCACAAAGGCAAGACAAGCCTGAAGAAAGTTAAATAGACAGGTTCCAGCTCCATGTGTAGTCCTCGCTAGGAAATCAACGCAGCAAATTAAGTCTCTTGGTGCATGGCAAACTGAGCAATTCCAACCATCCTAGATGAGTTTTTTTTTTTTTTTATAAAAATCTCAGATGAGTTGTCTGACCTGTTTGACCACTTCTATGAGAGGATGATAAGGCCCACAATCTCTGCAAATGAGATTTAAAGCTTCCAATGAGTTCTGCCTCTAAGGTTGAAGTTTCCCCAATTCCAAGTTGAAATCCCAAAATCCAATGAATGCATGTCCTCCTCTGGTAATACAGACGTCAACATCCACATGGAGTGTGCCTTCTACTGGTGGGTTCCATCTTAAGGTCTCTTGGTTGAAATCTCGAAACACAACGTGCTTGTATTTATTTCCATTGACTTCTTGCATGAGCTTGCTGTGCAATGATGTACAATCAATGTTTTTAAAATCAAATTGAATATTAAACTAAAAAATTTAATAATCTACAATTTACATAATTCAATCAAATCGAATCAATAATTAAATTAATAATATAATAATTAAATTAAAAAATTATATATATAATAATTTAAATATAAAAATAAATATAAAATTATTATTTAATTTAAAAATAAAATTAAATATTTTAAATTTATCATGACTTAATAAGTCACATGATGCAATATAACATCAAAAAATTTAAAAAATTGATCATTTTTTTAAAAAAATTGACAAAAAAGAAGCATTTTTTGAACAGCTCAGTTTTTAAAAGTTGAAACTGATTCCCGATCCGACCGTCAGTTCAAAACGGTTCAATCCGGCCTAACTCTCCAAACGATTTTTTTGGTTTGAGTGTACTATTAGCCTGACCGATCAATGACTCGATCAGTCCGACCATTCAGTTCGCTTTGATTTTTAAATCACTACGTTCAATGTCTTTGGGAGTGATAGTAAAATCTTCAAACAGCCTACAACTGTGAGCTTTCCAAATAAGCCAACATGTTTGCTCGAAGATATTTAACCGAGGCCTTTTTTTTTTTTTTTTGAGTCGGATTATGCTTCATGTTCCAACTAAGCCATCCCTGCAGACTAGTACCAAAAAAAGCAGATATATTGTTAGTAGAAAAAATGTTTTTCCACACTCTTTTGACTGTCTCACTCACAATCGAGGATGATATGTAGTGCACTCTTTTATCAAAAAGAAAAATAAAAATGTAGGACACTATCGCTCTCACATGGACACTCAAAAGGGCAATTTACGATGTCAGAAAGACATGTTTAGTTCTAGGCAAATTAATTACTTCTATGATTTATATTAAGTTTTGAGGTTTGTACTATTTTTATTCATCAAAACTTATTTTCTTTTAGATATTTAATTAAGGTAATTTGTAATTTATATATATCAATATAATTAGAAATTTTAATTTTGAAAAAAATTAAAAAAAGTTATGCAGGCTTTGGACCTAACCCTACCAACAAGAGTCAAGTTTCATAATAATATTGATTTTATAATAAAAGAGCTTATGAGCTTGAACCGGGTTTATAAAGATAAACTGGCTCTATTGACAAATCTATATAGCAATTAATTAATTTACTGATATGCTAAAAAAAGAATCCTTTCAGATTAATCTAAACTAATAAATTTTCCACAGGTCACTCTGTTCTCGGTGACAAATTAAATCACTTTTCTTCAATCACAGTAGAAACCCTTGAACATAAATGCTGTGTTAGATATGATGAAGTTGAGGACAAATAACACAGATACATGCAAAAGTAAAGACTTGTATTGAAAAATTTCATTACATAACTGTGCCAATCAAACAGTTTCTGCGGGAACTGAATTCGGAAAACCAATCTACTATCTAAAGCATTGGGCATTCTGTATTAGTATAGCTTATTCTAAATACAAACCAATAACAATGCAATTTTTTGGTTAGTGAACAATGTATACATATGTGCAGAATAATGATTTCCAGAGACCTAGACGTATAAATCTTCAAACATGAATCTTTGCTTCAACTGACTCAGTAACACAAATCACCTTGTTCTTCGTTTATTAAGAACAGACTCTTCACATGATAACCAGCAAAAGCGTGCACTAAATCCCTCGGTCCCAGATCCTTCACTAATTCTTTTACTGGATCAAGCAGTATCATCTTTCCTCCATAAATTCTCAGCACCAATTCTCCAGAATTTCTAATGGCCAATACGCTTGATATGCCCCCATAACAAGTTGAATTAGAATGAAACACTTCAGCCCATGAATCCACAGCACCATATTCTTTCATCACCCAGATGCTAACAAATTCTTCATCCGACTCTGAACAATAAGTATGCACCACGGCAAGTGAATCCTCTCCGGCCAAAATCGACAACTGGTAAGGAGATTCTCTCAGAGGTTGTGGTAACATCAGTTCTCCGAATGTCTCATCGACAACATCGAATGTCAAAATGAAATTATGAATCCGACCGTTTCTTCTTTGGCTGACAACCCAGTGAATTACACCATTTATAAACACCTGATGCTTCCACAATACTTGCATACAGAGCAGAATCGGAGGAGCCCTACCAGTGATGTTCCTCCATGAACCAGTTGCAAGAGAGTAAATCTCAACCTGCGGAGTTTCTTCTCTGTTGTGGATTGTTGCAACTAGTCTGACTACCTTGAAATCCTTGGTCTTTGAATCAAAACCGAATCCGAAGAAAACCCTGTTCCTTTTATGGTCAGGATCGCAGGATCTGAAGGTTACACTGGGTTTGGGAAGAACCACATACTTCTGGATACATGGGTTCCAAATAATGAGATCGGAACAGTCTAATACAGAATAATCAGCAAGACAGACCAGTCCGTTGCAAGTTCCGACCACTTCCTTGTGCTCACTCGTGAACAGAGGAATGAGAGAGGATTTCAGAACGGAGGGGTCATCACTTTGGTGATTGTCAGAATAAAGAGAGTAGAAATCTTGAGATTCGCAGTACTTGTATCCCTCTACTCGTTTCTTAAGAGAGATGAAGAGGAACAGAGAGGCAATATCTGGGTTGGTCTGAATCGTACGCTTGAGGTGGTCACATATGAAGGAATGATCCGAGATTAGGGACTTCCAGGATTTGCAGACAGAGATGCAGTTCACAAGAGATTTGTGGGGCAACCTGTGAAGAATTTCCTCCAGGATTTCTTGAGGGAAATAGTAAGACATCTCTGTAACACAGGAAACGAATTCAGAGAGACCCAGCATTTAAGTGATGCGGCAAGGAAAGGAGAGGAGGACAGTACACAATCAAACGATTGATTTCTGAGCAGGTCTTGTGGATCGCACTTGTAACGTGTTGCTTTACAATTTTGCAAGCTCCCTGCACTTTATATAGAATAAGAACAATAATGCCTGGCACATTCCATTTTCAACGCTTCAAGACAGCGCGGATGCGCTCCAAGTCCAATGACGAAAAATGAAAAAGTTATTGTGACTGTTAGTAGTCAGCAAGAGATTAAATTTTATTGGTGGGGGTTGGTAGATTCCGTCTTTTCTTCATGTTTGGGTCGTTGACCACTCCTTAAACCTTATTAAAATAGTCAAAAATTTTGGGCTTCTCGCCAAAACTCAAAGATGTCAACCTGTGAACCAAAATTGTTATCAATTGTATGTTACTCCTACTCCCTCCAATTCATGATAAATTGACTTTCATGTTAAGAGTAATTCAAATTAGGGGCATTTTAGTGCGGCAATGCAATTACTTTGATTGTTCAATTGCTTTCTTAGCTTATACAGTTATACTCCTAAGAGTAACATGTTGTTTGAATAGAAGGGAGTACCTATTTTGACTTTTGAGCAAGAGATGGGTAAGGAAAATTTACTTACAAAAGATCAAATTTAAAAACTTATATTTTTAACAATTTAATTTAAGTATTTAACACTTAAACTATGAAATTTTATAAATATTTATTAAGTATTTAAGTTGATACTTCAATATTTTTTTCCTTACACATACATTGTATATATAATATTTTTTTCCTTACACATACTTCAATATTTAAATTTAATTATTATTTTACTGTTTAATAACTGATATAACTATTTGAAGTTTTGAACCATAAAAATTATAACTCATTAATCTTTTTGATTTGATGTGCTGTCCAATTTTTAAAATAATAATACCTGTGTGATATTTTTGGCCAGCATCATCCCATTGTCTAGTTGAGAGCTGCATTATGTGAATGTGGGGGCCTGAAATATCCGGATGAGTATTTGGGCGCATATTATCATGGGAAAATGATAATAAAATTCATTTAAAATATATAAATAATAATTTGATTCCTCAAAATGTCATAATTAATTTGAAGTCTTTAAGAATTTTTCTATCATTAATAAATTTATATAAATGACTAAATTTTACTTGTTAAAAATAAATAATTTATAATTTTTTCTTATATTCGTAATTTTTCTTCTTATGTTCACAACAATACAATAGTAAATTACAACTTTGCAAGTTAAATTTTTTTATTTGCTATTGCATTATTGCAAACATAAGAAAGAAAGTTGCTAATCATTTATTTTCAATAAGGGTAATTTGGTCATTTATATAAATTTATTAATGACAGAAAAGTTCTTAGAAATTTCAGGAGAATTATGATATTTTGAAAGACCAAATTATTATTAATACATTTTAAATAAATTTTATTATCATTTTTTCTATTAACATTACGATTGTTGGAAGCATTCGAAAACTTAGATATTAAAATAGAAAAATTCTTATATAAACTCATACACCACTTAATCTATATTCCATTCAATAAAAATATGATATTAAAATATTATTAAATATAAATTAATTCTACTATTAATGATAGTAAAGAGAAAAAGTGTAAGAAATTAAATAAGTATTTTATTATAAAAATGAATTTATGAAAAAGAATGACACAAAAGATTTTTTTAATTAAATTAGTAAAATTTTATTAGATGGAGTATAGATAATATAAAACACCAAGTCCATTCAAGAATTGTTGGCAAAAAAAAAAAACGACTCCATTCAAGAATTTCTTACTAAAATTGGATCGGATCTTGGCTTGATGAGGAGCTGAGTTGGACTTTCAGAGTGGACCAAGGGAAAAAAATTGCAACATTGAACACGTGAATGAGAAAAAATCATTAGAACACCAAACCTGACCATTTGTAAAATAGTTGTGCAGGAAACAAATTATTAGTCATAGTTTATGAAGAGATTCCAATCAGGCTCACATTTGATTATATGCCCACCAAATATGAAATGTTCTTAATTCTTAGCTTTCATTTAGACGAGTTTTTGGTTGGTTGACTTCCTAGTTGCTTTAAAAACGCATACCAACCATACGCTTATGATAAACAAGTTGATCTCATAAACTATAGATGAAAGAGACCAATAGTTTGGCCTCACCGCAAGTAATGATAATTTATATTGAAAATGAAATTATTGAAAAAAAAATTACATTAGATATAATAATTGATGACATTTGTACCGTGAAAAATCTACAAGCAAAAAATAAAAATAAAAATACATATTTATTTTGATTATATATTTTAAAATTATATATATATATATATATTGAAATATCTATGGTATAACAGTGATACATATACACAAATATATATAATTTTCTTTTAGTTATCACATAATGTTTTATCTTGGCCTCCGCTTATTAAAATTTTTGGATTCACGTTCCATGGAGGTTGACATTGGCAGGTGATGGTGTATTGGTGTGTGTTGGCGGTGTGGATTGGTGGCAGTAATTTCTACAAGCTAAGCGCTCTGTTTAAAAAATAAGACAAAAATAATTATAAAATATTTTTACTTTTTATTTTTTAAAATAAAGATGAGGATTATTTTAAAAATCATTTAAATGTAAAGCATTACTCAAACGGTTTTTTTTTTATTTTGAAAACTAAAAATGGTTTTTAAAAATAAAAATCAAAACGACACATTTTATTCTTGGTTTATTAAAAACAAACTCTGATCTCCAACAAATCTAACAGTATATCACTCAAGTCCAAAACACTTCACTAATTAAAATCTTTCTGTGGATCCAATAAAATCATATTATGAATGACGGTTTGTAGCACGAACTCTCCATTATTCCCCATACCTATATAACTCTTGATATGCCTCCATAATGGATTGAATCAAAAGAAAAATTATTAGCATTCCATGAACTCACGATACATTTTGTATGAGCGAAAGCAAAAAATTGCCTTTAGAACAGAGAATGACAAATTCTCTTTGATCAAAGCAAAGGATAATATAAAGCCATGAATTCGACCATTATGATCTCCATAAACAATCCAATGAAGTGCACCGGAAACATAATGAAGGAGGTCTGTGAGTGATGTTTCTCCAATTTTTGTGAGAATCAAAACCAAAACCTAACACAGTGTGGCCTGAATCGTATTGCCCCATGGATTCTAAAGTTGCAGTGGGCTTGGGAAGCACAACATATTTAGTTAGTTACGAATATATAAATGGGCTCATAATTATAGAAGTGAGATCGTTTAATAATACTGAATAATTAACCATAATATGAAACATATATATTAGCTTAGCCCATTCCAAGTGCCAACCATGGTCAGACCAGAATCAGCTTGATGAATGAGTGGGAGTTTTGAGACAGAGAGGTGAAAAGAATTTTATGGCTGCAAATACTCTATCACGACTTCATGCTGCGCATATTATTATATTGGGGTTCGCTTTCTCATAAAAAGAAATCACTTATTTTTTTAAAAAAATTATTTTGTGAGATTTTATAGTATTTGTTTAAATTTTTAATAGAATATGAAAAAATTGAATTTCTGATTATTTTGAGAAATTATTTTGTGTAACTTTTGAGAAAAAAATATGATATAATAAATGAGGAAGAATGTTATAAAAAAATATGGAGATACGTGAATATGTTATAAAATTTTAAAATAATTAACTAATAAATCATTTTTTATAAAACAAAAATCCATAAAAATATTATAAAATCTAAAAATAACTAACTAAAAACCAAACATAAAATAATGTATGATTTTTATAAAATCTCTAAACTATTTAGATAAACAGACCCATTAATCCAAAGCATTTAAAGTTGAATATAAATTATAGCCAGAAATGTTCAAACAAAACCAACGTCTGCAATGCCTTTGCTATTGACAGCAACATTATTTTCTTGGTGAATATCAAAAACAAACTCGCCCACATGATCTCCAGCAAAGTATTAGCGCTACATATTTCAAGTTCAAGATCCTTTATTGATTCATTCGCCTTTGGATCATCTGATGAAATTATCCTCCCACCAAAAGTTTGTGGCACCATTCCCACAGAGCTCATAAGAGCTGTATGACTCTTGTCATGCCTATCTAATAATGTGCATTAAAGGAAGACATCAACAACACACATTCTCTTGTATCGCCCATATAATATAATCTTTCACTCGAAACTGTCGATGAATGTTTGTTATAAGCCAGAGTAAGAGAACTTGCTCTAACCAAAAGAGATGGATCAAATCAAAACGCTTTCCACAAATTAAAAATCCAATCGCAACATGACAACCTTAAAAGTCCTTGTTTCTAGAATCAAAATAAATAACCCCAAAGCCAATGAAAGAGTAGTCAATTGGCAGGTTTGGGAAACATGATGATAGATTTTCGAATAGACAGATTCATGGTTATATAAGAGGATACTCTAATAATTTCAAATACTAAGCAACATATACTAACCCCATTGCAGGTGTCAACCACATTCAAGAGGATGATCTTCTTTTCTTCTTTTTTGGGGCCAACCCCTCGCCTGGATGGATGCCTCTTTCTTACACTCAAATAAAAATATTCAGTACCACAAAGTTGGAGATATTTACAAAGGCATTCAAGCCCGTGCTACGAAATATTTATTGCATTTTATTTTCTCGGTGAACCATTAAATAAAATGCAAGGAAAGTGATGTTTGAAAGGAGTCTCATCATTATGACTTGATTTGAACTTCTAAATCCATTTTAAACAGTTTAGATTTAAAATTATAGATATATAATTTTCATTTAATAATTTTTTTAAATGACAGTTGAAAAATCATCTTTATGTTTATATTTAATTCTGTATTCGTTAAAATAAAAATTTTAAGAAATAAAAAGATAAAAAAATTGAGCACTAGTATAATTCATTTTGACATACAATCAGATATTAAATACCTCTTTTAAGAATTTAGATATTAATTGATTACATTATGAGCAACTTGCTTCGCTACACCCATTACCATTGGTTCAAATTTTGGTACTCTAAGCCGATTCCTATAGAACTAAACCTGAGCCACACGCTGATATTTATAAAACTGAGATTCCCCGGTACCCGAGAGACACAG